AGGACAAGGCAGCAACAGCAGCCCCCAGCTGCACACACGCTGCCACGCATGCTCCAGAGCCTGCTCCGGCCGCTTGTTGGGTCCTAGAGGCCACTCAGCTGCGCTTCCCTCCCTTCCACCCCCGGCTCCTTACTGGGACCCTGGGGTGATGAAACTTATTAGCCACCGGCACCGCTGTGCAGAAAGGACCGTTTTCATGGTGAATTCAGTAGAGCTGGGAATTCAGCACCCCTGTCACCACTCCCTGCAAACACAATGAAAAAACAGTGCGCTCCATTGCTGGGCCAGCATGCAGGTACTAAGGACCCGATCCTGCAAAATTATCCGCTTAATTTATGCGCTGCGGCTTGGAGATCAAATGGGGAAAGTTGCTTCAAATATGTCCCTGAGATGCCCTCTGCGGGATGCAGGCTATGTATAAGGAAGGGAGTAATGGATATCTGAAATAATGTATGTAAAAGTGAGATATGGGCCAAAAATGGGAAACCCTCATTTTGAAACCTACAAATTTCAGTGTCTCATATGAGTAGCCCTGTTAGTATGTAACAAAACAAAAATTAAACAAGGAATGGTCCTGAAGCACCTTCGAGTTTAACACAAAAAGTAGATGGTGTCATGAGCTTTTGTGGGCAAAATCCACTTCTTCAGATGAATGGAACAAGGGGGTCTAGAGTTGCAAATAAATAAAATAAATTCCACAAACCTGGAAATCCTGGACATCCCATCATTTCAGGCATTGGCACACTTACTACAGGGTTATCTGGCTATGTTGACTCTCTCTTCAGACCCTATGATACCAGCACTAACTTTCAGAAATTGCCTTCATCTGCAAAAGTGACACCTTTTATAAAAGTATGAACAAAGAAAGACCTTACTTAGATTGGGCACTACATTCAACAGCCTAATGACATTACGAGGTAAGTATTGTGCATTTATAGCCCACACAATTAGCCTCATTTACTGCAGACACTTTGTCACATTTTTCCCCTTCCCTTTCCCTCTCCATCCCCTCTTTTTATGCTATTTATTTGCAACTCTGGACCCCTTGCTCCATTCATCTGAAGAATTGGGTTATGCCCATGAAAGCTCATGATACCATCTACATTTTTGTTAGTCTCTAAGGTGCTGCAGGACCATTCATTGTTTTTTTAAAATTTCAGTGTGTAAGAGTTTTGAATCTACTCTGCAGATCTAAATCTGCCTGTCTGGCTTTGGTTCTAAGTCAGATCCCAAACCAAAAGTTCTCGTTCTCAATGGTTCTGCCTTGGAGCAGTTGAAATCTCAGGCGAAAAGTTGTTTTGTGACATTGTGGCCCAGAGTGGCAAAAATCTCACAAGAATAGATGTTCTTGAAAGATTTGACTGAAATGTCACAAGATTTCGTCATTATTGACTCTGAACATGAAGCTAGTCTAAACCTAATCCTGATCTTGTTTCAAAGGACCTATCAACACTTCTTACACCCATCTCTAATTAATAGAAAGGAAGCTCTTAAAAATTCAGAAATGAAATTCCTTCTTTGAGTCAGCAGTAAGACAGTCCAAAATCCTCAGACAATGAAGGGGAAATTATTTTGGGTGAGTTGGCTCAGTTACTGCCAATTAAGTCTGAATGCAGAAGACCTATCTTTTGTGGTGAAAGGGGAAAATAGCAACTTAGGCTATGTCTACACTGCAAAAGTTTTCCAGGATACCTCTGGTAAAAGCTCTGCTGCGTCCAAGGAACGCGTCTGCTTTTCTGAAGAAAAAAAATCATAAAAGCAGATGCGTTTTCGGCATCCCTGTAAACCTCTTTCTACAAGGAAGAAAGGATGTTCCAGAAGAGGGTTTTTTTTCTGACATTTGGCCCCGTTAGCCAAATGTCGGAAAAAGCCTCTTTCAGAAGAAAAGCAGAAAAGGATACGGGAATTGTGTGTCTTTTTCTGTCTGTTCCCTGCAGTGTAGACATAGCCTTAGAACAGTGGTCTCCAACCTTTTTAAGTGCAAGACACTTTTTGAATTTAAATGCAATCCAGGATCTATCTCATACCCAAATAGCCTTGCCCCTCCTCCTGCGTGCCCCTTCTATGAGGCCCTGCCTCTGTTCACTCAGTCCTCCCTCCCTCATTCTCCTTCCCTTTCATCAGGTAGTGGAAGAGGGTTGTGACACAGACTCTGATTTTGGGCTAAAGGATTTGGGGCATGAGGGGCTCTGAGCTGAGCCTGGGGCAGAGGGGTGGGGTGTAGCAAGGGGTTCAGGGTCCAGGCTCTGTAAGGGAGTTTGGGTCCAGAGAGCTCAGGGCTCGGGCAGGGGCTTGGGGTACAGGAGCGGGTGTTTGACTGGGGCAGGAGTTTGGGATTCTGGCTCCAGCTGGACACCGCTTACCACAGGTGGCTCCTGGGTGGTGGTGCAGTGGGCCTAAGGCAGACTCACCCCTGCCCTGGCCCTGCACCACTCTCAAAAGCAGTCAACAAACTCTCTCCATCCCAAGCCCTGTTGTGCCCTCCCCCCGTTCTGTGGAGATAGAATACAGGGTGGGAGGGGGGCACCCTGACATCAGTGCCCTCTCCTCTCCTGTCCCTGTCCCTGTGGGAAGGGCAGCTCCAAGGCAAGGGCAGCTCCAAGGCAAAGAGCAGAAGATGTGCAGCTTAAGTGCTGCGCTGGATAGTCTGTTGGCCAAACCAGTCAGGATCACCTGTCAGAGGCTCCAAGCTCTACCAGTAGATCCCGATCGACTGGTTGGTGACCGGTGCCTTAGAAACTGGACATTTATTCAAGAAATGGACCAAATCATGCAGTCAGTACTCAACTAAAGTCTTATTGACTTGGCCTATAACAGTTAAGTGTACTTTTGAACTCCACAATGGAGTAACAATCTCACAAAATATATATTGTAGTTGTCAAAAAGGTAAGGCTCTGTGCCCAATCTAGCACCCCAAGTACAGACAAACCTTCCATTAGTGTCAATGGAGTTTTTCAACATTTATATATTAATTTTCATATTTCAGAAATGAAGAATTATATGAAAGTAGTATTTGGGATAACCAAGAATTGTTCACTAAACACTTCTAAAGATGTTCAGATGCTATAGTGATAATTGCAATATAAAAATATGAATGCCATAAAACAGAATAAAAAAGAACAATAAAGTAAAGTTTCCAGGCAAAAAAGATAAGAAAAGATACTTATGACATTTATTTTACTATGAGAAGATGTATTATGCAAAAATACAAATGTTTGCTGCTGTTTATACAACTGCTAGTGAAAGACTACAGAAAAAAAGACAATATGTAATGAGTTGAATCCCAGCTCTAATGAGGACCTTAATGAGGTGTCTACTCCCCACAAAGTTTGACTAGGTAAAAAGGGCCAATTAACCTTTTGACAGGCAGCACCCTGAGAGAGTCAGGGCAGATAAGGCCTAATGGCTGATGAAGTTCAGCTGGAGAGGAGCCACGCTAGGCATAAAAAGAGGAAGTTAAGGGCTAAGACTGGGTTGTAGGGAAGAACTTTATAGCCATTCCCTAGAGAGGAAGGATATTGGAAGAGATAATAATTAGTGATGTCCCCAGGAACCAGACCTATTCAATATATTCATAAAGGATCAGGAAAAAGGGGTAAATCACGAGGTGGCAAAATTTGCAGATGACACAAAACTACTCAACATAAGTCCCAAGCAGACTGTGAAGAACTACAAAAGGATCACACAAAACTGGGTGGCTGGTTTAAAAAAAATGGCAGATGAAATTTAATGTTGATAAATGCAAAGGAATGCACATTAGAAAACATAATATTCATAAAGGATCAGGAAAAAGGGGTAAATCACGAGGTGGCAAAATTTGCAGATGACACAAAACTACTCAACATAAGTCCCAAGCAGACTGTGAAGAACTACAAAAGGATCACACAAAACTGGGTGGCTGGTTTAAAAAAAATGGCAGATGAAATTTAATGTTGATAAATGCAAAGGAATGCACATTAGAAAACATAATCCCAAGTGTATGTGTGTGTGTATATATATATATATATATATATATATATATATATAGCTACCCCAAACATCCTGTGGATGGGAAGGACCCAGTGGATTATAGGGCCTGGTGTAGGGTGGCAGCAGGGATTGCTCCCTCCCATACTCACCACATGGGTGGCAGGAGCCGGAGCGACCCAGCCACTCTGCTGTGCCATCCCCTTCCAGCTCGCTGCACTCAGCTT